GAAATAGGTGAGCATTATTGGGTACGTCCTTGAGCTCTGAAAAGGGAGGTCTGGAATGAGAACAGAGCAGCTCCTCTGGAGAATGTGGAAAGGCAGCCTGCAGAAAGGCATGTCTATACATTACCCTGACCTGTCTGTTGTGAAAATAGGGAAGAAAGCAAATCATTCCCAATTCTGCAGACGTTCTGACAGCTAAAGTAGGCATTAACAATTTGCAACACATGGCATGGGGGATGAAAGTCTCTGAGCTCTACAGCTGAGTTTCCTGGCTGAAATGAAGTAGCAGTTGAAGGTAGCTCAGAGAAAAAAAAAAATTTAATCTACCATATAGGAACAAAATGCCTAACATTACCAAAAAGTGGAGAAAGAATAATATCACAACTCAGAAATAATGCATATCCTGTCTTCAATATTGAATAATTCTGAGGGTTTTGAGCCTTTATAATGGGGATTTTTCTGACAAAGAAGGGTCAAGTTTTACAATATAGGTTTCTGCAAATCTAGACTAATCTCTTGTCATTTTCAATTCATACCTGAATTTGGTATGTAAAAATAATTTGGTAGGTAATATATTGATGCAGAACTAATAATTTTATATTTTGATTGCTACAAGAGCTGGAGGAGTCAGACAAAGGTCCTGCTGGACTTTCCTGCAGAGCCCTACTCAGCATCAGCCATGCTGGTTGGGAAAAGCATTGGGAGCAGCAGCAGGAAGATTTGCGTAGCCAGATCTCTGGGCAGTGAGAAGTGTTGTTTCTTTAAAGGACTTATATTGAGCTCTTCTGATTTACAACAGAACTCCAAACTCATAAAAAAACTTTTGTTTTTCTTGCTTAGGCCTTCAGAGGGAGGGAAATTCATTTGTCTAAGTCAAATGAGTCTAAACAGAGAAGTAGCAGATAAATATTTTCAAAAGCTGCTGTTATAATTTACATGCATTAAAGATGTGGTCAGGTATATTTGGAGAGACATCATGTTTCTCTAAGACGGAAAACAGTCAAAACCACAGAAAAAATTGCAATTGCTTAGAAAAATTGATCAGCTGGGTGAAAGAAATACATACTTGAATTTGAGTATTTTTCAATAATTCTCTGTAACTGCTATAGCAGCAAAAGCAATTAAGCAGGTTAAGTGATATGTTGAATTTGAAAATAATTTTTATTTACGTTTTGTAGATGAAAGCTAACATCTTCACCACTATAAATCTCTGAAACTTTTTTCTTCACTATTTAAACTGCTTGCTTTTGATTTGATTTCAACTAATAATTCTTAGAAGAGTTGACATAGCCATTGCTGTGTTGAATATAACAGGGAACTAAACAATTTTATTCTTTTTTGTAGTTGGGATAATAATAATAATAGACTGTGATGTGGAAATAAAAGACCTGGGGAGATGATATGAATGACAATGAAAGAGTGATATGAAAGACTGTGTTATATCCAGATGACCTCCATTGGATTTGACCTTCCAGTTGTATTTGGTAAAGGTATTAGTGTCTTGTCTTCAGTATCTTTGTACTGGCATTCCGCTTTCACATACATTTAGGCTATGGAGTTCCAATTAAATTTTGTTTTAAAATTAATCATTGGGCTGACACCAATGAAATGGTGTAAGGAAGACTTGCACCGATGGCCGTTTTCCTAGGAAAACAGCTATCAATGACCTTCAACTGAGAGTAGTTTTGTGTAACTTGTACCGATGGCCGTTTTTCCTGGAGTCTCACTACTATCAATGACCTTCAACTGAGAGTAGTTTTGTGTCCGCTGCTGTTGTCAGAGTGTTTGCATCATTTCAGTGTCCGTCAGACTCCTTCTCTTCCCTTGACATTGTCCTCTGTGGGAATTTGGGCTGGGAGAGCAGGGCCTGGGCCTTGCAGCCGCGGGGGGCATGGATAATCGGGCTGGGCGTGCCCCGCGCCGCTCCCCGGCAGTGACATGGAAGTAATGCGTGCACAAGGGCTCTGCTGTGATCCTGCCCAGCTCTGCTGTGATCCTGCTCAGCCGCTGGACACAAATCGCAATAATTGGGTGGCCAGGCCGGGGCTGGCGCGAGCTGTGACGGCACGGACAAAGGGAACAGGAAATCGCCATCCGGCGTCATGTGCTCCTTCTCAACCTGGATTCTGATTGCAGCTGTCAGCGTGGCATTATGGCTCCTGAACGCGCTGTTTTATTCAGCGCAGTGTGGGGGAGATTTTTTTTTTTGAGACTGAAACAATGCTGGAAAATGATTGGCGTGAGGTTAACTTCAGGCAGGCTGCAGTTCCCGAGATCGTTGCATAAGAGACAGCAATATTGAATTACTGGCAAGGGGATTTTTGAATTAGTTAAAATTTGTGGTTTTCATCTTTGTCTTGTCTTAACACTGAAGTGAGTTAAAAGTGCTGGAGATATAGCTGAGAGGGCATATTCCCTTAACTCTGGTTCTTTCTAGCTCTATAACAAGTAGTCTGTTTTTCTTTCATCTATTTACTCTTTTTTAGTGCCATAGTTACATTTTTTATGGCATTAGGGATGATAGTCCATCTTTACTGGTTTTAAATGCATTAGGAAAGGATGTTAAAACAGTGTGGCAGTAGAAAAAATACATTGAAGATAACAACAGACATACCATTCTCTTGACCAGTGAGAACAGGCATCACAATGCTGTCATATGCTCTTTTACTGAAAACTTTGGGGTTTGTAGGCATAAAATTCTGTATTTCTCAAGATTCAGAGATTAATTTCTTATCTGTATGCAAGTACCATGGATGAACTCTTCTTGCTTTAATTTGAAAAAAGCTCTTCAGAATAATTAAATGTATTTTTCTTTAAGGTTTATGTTATTTAATGTGTATTCTTTAGCCTTTAATAGGGTTGGTATTGGCTTAGAGTCTCAAACTGTAATAATTTCAGACTCATCGTTCATGAATTAGTAGTTTTAAGGCTTTGCTAATGATTTTAGTGCATATGTATTCTAGCTGAACTATGTTGCACATTCTCTTAAAATTGAAAGTTATCTTTGTTTTTTTCTCCTTTGAGAGATTATAAAACAAACAGCAATGTGCAGTGCTAGACAACAGAGAAGTTAAGTTCAACATAAATATATACATATATAAATAGGTATGGACTATATCACAACTTTGTTTAAAAAATCATTTTAATTGCACTACATCAAAGTAATCATAGGTGCATGGTGACTCATTCGTGTGTGTTCACATAAAAACATGTTCTGAGCAGCTTTAGGTTTTAGATTTTTGAAACTATTTGAATCCATCTTCTTACATGGCATCTTTGAAAAGGTGATATTTGCATTTGAAAAGGATGAATCAGAAATAAAACCAGATTAGATCGAGACAGATATTCTTTCCCCTCCCAAGTGTCTGGAGTCATTTACTGTAGCCATTGACATCTAATACGGCTTCAGGTGAAGTGTTTCCTCAGTAAACTTGAGTAACATTTTTATTTAAGGAAAGGAGAAAGAAAGATCACAAGTGGAATGTTAGAAAGCTTTTTTTGTTTGTTAAAGCCTTCATGCATACTTATATTGGTTCAGATTTTTTATTATTATTTTCACTAATGGAAAAAAAAGTTTGGGATGCAGTCCACCAAAGTCTTGCCCAAATAGGACTTTTCTTTCCCCTCCCCCTAAATCTTGTCTAAATCCAAGACAACAGCAATAGTTTTAATGCTTCCTAACGTTGTCTAAACCTATACTGAACCTATAGAAGTGTCTCCTCTCTGGGGTGAAAATTTGATAAATATTAAAGTAATTTTTACTTCTGCACACTCAGAATTATCTCCTTTGGCAGAGAGGAGAAATGTCCAATTTAGGCTCCCTCTTTAATTCTAGAATTTAGTAAACAGGTAAATAATTCTGCTTCAATGCACTGGAAAAATCTGAAGATCTCAATGGATAAAGACCCATCCCAGATAGTGAAGTGGCGAAGTTCTGAGTTCTGCTGAGGCTGAGGATGCTTGATCTTCATCCTAAGGGTCTGCCTGCAGCAAAAAAATGTTGGCTCCAAATGGTGATGAAGTTTATAATTTGTACACAGAATAGGGACTGAACCAAAAATCCTCGTTCCAATTTCTAGCAACTTCCCTTTCTGTTTCTATCAACCAGATCTGACTGCCTGCATCTAGTGCTAGAGAGGATTTTTCTTTAGGTGGTTTCTTACTGGAAGATATTATCAGGATAACATCTGGAACTTCTATCAATATTCATTGAGAGATTTGTGGTGTTGGGCTGCACAGGGGATAACAGCAGAAATTCACTTCAGTTGTGTGATATTTAGTTATTAGATATTTACAGAGAATTGCATCAGCAAATGCTGTGATCTGAAGGGTCGCTGTAATATGTGAAAATCTACAAATCAGGTAATGATTATGTTTAGGATTATATCATTATTTCAAGTATAATTAGTGAGAGATTGGAAGTTCATGTACTCAATGAGTAGTCACTGTAATTTGCCTACATAGTTGTGCTTGCCCCTTGTTGAAAAGTTTTTTGTTGCAACATTTAAATATGACTTGAATTGACCTCCATGTGTGTTGTACTAAAACTTGCAGTACTAACTCCTCAGTGTTCAAAACCTTAATGTTTCATGGGGAAAACAGAGAGGGGGCAGTGTGCTGTGAACAGGGAGGACAAGAAGCAACCTTTCAACAAACAGCAGCTAGTGGGATAATTTCCATAGCTGTCCAAAATAACCCTTTTTTATCGATTAAAACTAGTTTGCAACTAGCTAAGATTCTGCTGCGACCAAAGGCTTTCAAAATGTCCTCACATGATTTACTGTCTTCCTTTGATTGCAAGGAAGTTTCATTAGCAAAACCTCATTAACAGAATTTCATACAGAAGAGAAGAATCTGTAGTTCACTTGTGGGTTCCAACGGATTGAGTCTTCTTTTTTTTTTTTTAAACGTTTATATAGGACATATTTTTGCCAAACTTCCGAGTTGTTACATAGGGAATCTTTTTCATTCTGTTTTTGTTGGTTTGTTTCATTATTTATCAGGTTTTACCTGGCGAGACGATTACACACAGCATGTTATTGGTCAGGAACTCTCAACCATTCACAAAATCCACAGCAGACGCCCTGATGTATTTGCATCTGAAGGATCTGACACAGGAAGGTAAGTCTTCTGTAGTGTTTTTGCTTGGGTTTTGGAAAGGTTTGCAAATTATAAGAAAGAGGTTGGCCCAGAAGCAGAATTTTAAAAATCACAGAAGCCTCTATTTATATGGTAAAAGTGTCTCCAGTGTTCAGGGGACAGAATGAATGAAAACCTTGGACCTTGTTCTTCTGTTTATTATCAGGTTAAGGAAATACACATTCTATTTAAATTAAGGTGTCAGAATTCAAAGCATCAGGCCTTTCATTCAATTTATGCGCTGTCTAGTGTCAGTTCAGTCATCCCTACCTATGACTGCCTTAAAACGCAAACTTATAGTAGCTCAACTACAGGAGACATTTTATTCTGGACTAAGCGTTGAATGACATTCTGAGTGACTAATTATATTTTCATAGTCAAAGTCTTCCAAAACATACCTATAATTTATTTGAAATCTGTAGATTCCTAGTGGTAGTTGCAAAATTTCTTCAGGAAAGAGATCTTCCTGCAAGTTCCCATGACAGAAAATAATGTTGGGACATGGCTTGAAAGGTGTTGAAGGTTGACTTTGCAGTAATTGGTTGCAAGACACATCAGTAATTCTGTGGAGTGATGTGGTTGTAGTACCTGCAATTATATCATCTTCATATATAGTTACACATATAAAGAGAGTCTTTTGCCTGGTCTGTTCTGTCCTACAGGCAACCCAACCACACAAACCCCACAATGAAGTTTAAAGAACAATTAAAAATTAGAAATTTTGCTTTCTGTTATGTGATTTTAAGAAATACATTCTCAAAAGTAGTGAAATTGAAAGAAAGGGCTTTTTGTTAAAAAAACTTTCATCATAGTGGGATAAATTTGAGCTTCTAGCTGTGATAGGCAAAATACTGGATGTTGGAATTAGATCTTCATGTACTGCAGTATGTGGTTTGCCTATGCTGCAGAACCACTTCCTTTCTAAATTGCTTTTTTCTGGAAATAAAATGCGATTGATACTTCCCAGTGTCTTCAACTGTGTTTGCCTCACTTTGTTTTGATTTAATTCAGAGACTTTGACCCTGTATTTCACATGTTTGCTGATTCAAAAGCATTTTTTAAAATCACAGCACCATTCAGAAGTGCAGTAAGGTAGAAACTTAATGTCTAAAGAAGATAGAGATCTAAAGATTACCATGAAGGTGATAACAACATGTGGTTGAATCCATAAACATGTTTTCACTGCTTAGATACACAAAATGTCAGTATTGAATGGATTACTCTCAGTAGATGGTATCAGAAATGATCTTCAGTATCTTCTGGGGATTTTTTTTAAGAGAGTACCTAAAATTTTTATTCATGAGAGTAAGGCAAAATAGGCCATGATATCAAGGCCATATTCTGCAGTGTTCCACATTTATAGTAATATAAAATTTAAAATATAAGAAGACATAAAAAATTATTTAAGGTTTAGATTAAAAACAAATGCTCACTTTTAGGAATTCCTGTTTTTAACAAGTTTGAGATGTTTTATATTTTTAAGTATATGTGTTTAAAAAAACTGCAACATTTTGTATATTGATACTTCAAAAACATCAGAATTTCAAATGTGTTCACGTAAAGCAGTTCCTATTGTGGATAGATTTTCTGCAGTCACCAAGCTGTGCTTCTGAAAGCATTATCTTATGTGCCAACAGTTTAAAGCATTAATTGATTTTTCTGGTTGTCCATTTGCAACGTGTTTTGTAGGTCAGAGAACAGTAGGAAATCTGGTGTCTTGTAGATTCTGATCAAGTGTGTTATATGTTCAGTGTGCTCAGTGTGCTTGCTAAAATCTTATCAGATAATAATTAAATAATTTAAAAAGCAACTTAGAGTAGGTATCTAATTATCAAAGAAACATTATGTCAGAAAGACCTTTTATTAAGGGTAACGTGTGTAATAAGACAATATGAAGTCATACTAATGAGTCATTAATCCCCACAGAGCTGGTGAGAGCAAGAAAATAGACTCAGACACTTGAAAGGTAAATTGACTTAGGCTAAATTAGTGCATATGAAATCTGATGAAACAGAAGACATGGATTTCATCTCAAAAAAAATGCTGAAACTGGGAGTTTGATTTCAAGATGAAAGTTCTTTCTTTGTTGGCTAACTGGAGTGTATGTGGTATTTCCTGGGTCCTTATTAAATTTCAAAAAACCCTCTCTTGAAAGAGGGCTCAAGATAAAGGAAAAAAGTCCATTCTGCACAGAGGGAATAAATGTCAGTTGTGTTCATTGGTGCAATTAGGCAAAACCACAAACGTTTCCAGCAAACTTCAATGTATGAAATGGGGTATAGTATTATTTCTGTAATAAAACCATCATTAAGTCAGTAATAAGATACTCTTAGCATTTAAAAGGGAGAAATTTATTCTAAAATGTGTGGTTTCTATTAATTGGGAACATTCCAGAAATAGCAGAGGTGCAGTGATTTAGACATTTCTACAAAAAAAAAGCTTATAAAATGCTAGAGTTTGTAGGAAATACATAATTATTTTTGTAGATAAATAATTATATATGGTATTGTCTTTATACTCTTAAGGTTGTTGTATGCAAAGTCATCTTTTAGAGCAAATTGAAACTGAAAATACTTCCAAATAAGTGCATAAAAAGAACTCATCTGACAATCATTTCTCCTACTCACCAAGTGCTTTTACATATTTGTCTTTCATCCATTTTCCAATATAAATTTGTCATATTTAAACTAAATATTTTAATTTAGTAGTAATAATTGGTCAGTTAATGCATACTCATTCCTGAGTTAACAAGGGGATATAGTGGTGAACTACAAAAATTTTTTTTCATCGTTCAGATGTATTCATAGTATCTTATTAAAGTCGTCATCAAATGAAACATAAAGCTTTGTGTTCTTTTACATTTTAATTGTTTAAATGTTTATAGCATAAAATATTACATCTAATGTGGAATGTAAATATGAGTGCAATTATTGTCTCCATAGAAAAATGGGAAATCTTAGATCCCAGATTTTACTTCTACCGACAGTGACGGTGACTATATATTGTAAATAAAGGTTTGAAAAGCCAACCTAAATCCTGTCCTTTGTCTGTGCATTCAGTTCCTATTCAGTTCCTGTTAGCTCCAGTGGAAATCCTTGGGGCAGAATTCGTTCTAGGGGTTTTTTTTTTTTGGTTGTTTTTTTTTTTGTTTTGTTTTGTTTATTGGTTGGTGTTTTGTTTTTTCATTTCCCCTTCCTTTTAAAATTAGTGAAGAAATTAGAAGATAGATGTTAGAATTAATCAGTGAATGAAAGGTGAGTGTTGGCAACTGGGATCCTTCCTATGAAGAGAGCCTGTTTGGATTAGTTCATCTCTACTGAAGCAGAAAGCACAGTGCCCAGGTTTTTCTGAAACTGCAGAATAGTTTTGGTCTGGCTTTAAGCTGAAAAGGAGGTGGATAATGTTACCTGCATGTCCACACTCCATCAGAAGGCAGAATCTAGAGCTCTGGAATGAGAAAAAAATGCAAACAGCATGAGAAGGAGGCAAGACTGATGGTAAATTAGATCAGGTTTGCTATAGTGCTCTGTGCAGCAACCCTTCTTTTTTCTAGAGTCTGTGTCCCTGATGGGAACCTGCTGTCATACACTGGGGAGAAATGGAAGATTTTTCTGGTGTTTCAAAGTGAGCAAACCTGTGAGCACTGTTGGTTGCAGTGCCACCACAGTAAATTAGATTATTAATTACATTTATTAGTGTTAAATTAGTAGGGACACACATTTGGTAAAACTGTGAGCATGGAAGGCAGTCTGTTAATTTTTCATTAAAGTATTATAATTAAACCCCATCTTTGGAAAATATATAATGGTGCTCTCTCAGGCTGTGCCTCTACATTAGTGCCAAGATGTGGGCTGGTAGAATAACATTTTATTTACAGTGGCACAGAGATGTTGAAAGTGAAATTCATTCACTGAGCTGTAAAGCTCTTCCACCTGGAATTCTTCTTCACTGGAGAAGTGTGTGGGCATGTGAGTAGGAAATGGTGACACCAAAAGGTGATTTCCCTCAAGCAGCTTCACTCACAGGGAAGGAAGAGCCTGGGAACTTTCTCTCTGCTTTCTCGCACAAGGAATGAAATAGTTACCCATGCTGACATTTAAATTATCATCACCGTTTATGTGTTGTTGAGATAGATGAGGACAGCTGGTAATAATTCAGATTCACTGCACACAGCACTCTGAATCCCATATAAACACCTCCACACTGCCATCATTTAATCTCATTTCTAGCTTTTCTTTGCAAATGTCACCAAAATCTGTCTAAACCACTCAGGAAGCACCACTATTCTGTGAATCCCAGGCACATGAGAAGATCAGAAGAGATATTTGTTCCATCTCATTATTCCCTTTTCAAGCTTTTCACTGGAGTTTACTTGCTCCATTATTTCTGCATATCCAGTAGTCTTTCTTCTATTCTTTGTGTTAGTGCAGGGCCAATTTGGCATTGAATCTCATCACCATTCAGCAAGTTTTTTAAATCTTAGAACCATCTCATATTTCTTTGGGGTGCAATCTAATCATGTGCATTTTCTTTTTACAGGCATTTTCTTTGCTTTTGAATATGGCTTTGCATTGATGTGACATTTCATTTGATTTACTCTAGACTCATTAACTTTGATGCATGAAATAAATTGTTAATAGTGCAAGATTTTTTTGACTGCTTTTGCTGAAACATTGAATTTTCTATACTTTTGTGATTGCTAAGCTTTTGAGTGACTTTCCTGTTATGTATTGAACTACAGTGGCTTGCAGTGCCTTTTTAGTTGGTCACTTTGTACATTGGACAGGCTGGTAACTTTCTTTTCCTTCCTTTTCCTGTGCAGGACTTTGGGACAAAATGGAGATAATGAAAGAAATTATGATGTGGAAAATAATGTGAACTTGGCCAAGTCTCTTCAGCAATACCTTAAATATCTCAGAATTCTCTCCCAGTCTGCATCTAAAAATTTGTATCCAAGGAAGACAAGTGACAAAGCTTCTGTCAAGGTAGTATTTTTTATGTGGTTCTTACATTCTGTGATTTTGGCTTCCTTTTCTCTGAGTTCTCATTTATTGAAATTTCCCCTCTATCTGAAGACCAAGCATTGTTTTTTACTGTCTCCTCCAATTGATTATCATAAGTGCACTAAGTTTTCTCAAAATTAATCACCTTCAGCATTGTAAATGCTTCAACTCATGAAAGCTGGAGCATTTTAGCCTAATTAGGGATGCATTGCATGTGGTGAAGAAGGAAGAGTGGGATAAAGCTGGTAACACCTTGACTTGCTGATCTGAAACTCTGAACCTGAACTACTCTCCAAAAACCTGGCTGAACTACCATGTGAATTCTTGCTGGTGTTTGTGCTGCTTAGGGTACAATTCATATAATCTTTGAGCAGATTTTAATAATGGGTCTGACAAATTGTGCCAACAACATTTCCTACTTCTTATTGATCATAAGGAAATCCTACAGTGACCAGTTAAGGATCATATGTATACTTAATAAATGTACAGATAGCTGGGAAGATAAAGAACAACCATTAAATCTTGAGTATTGACTATGTAAAAAACTACAAACATGCCTATTTGAGAACTAAAGCATTTTTCCCCTTCCTAGAGGAAAATCTGTCTCACTTTAAGGTGCAACTTGATAAATTTATTAAAAATATTGGATGAAGGGGTCCCGTACAACAGGCCCTGTATCTTTTGCTCAAAAATCAAAGAGTGCACTCTTTGATTTTAAAGAACTAGGCTGCTGTTACAGCAATCCTTTGCAAGAAACTTTCTTTGCTATTTCATTGCATACAGTATGAATGCATAATTTGCCAAAAAATGTACGGAAGTTTTAGGAAAAATATCAGGTGAAGAGACTATAGTGCAAAGCCAAACTGCTTTAGTTTAGTTCAGGGAATAACTCAGAGGCACCAAATCTGCAACAACAACTCCTGGCAGCAGCACCAGTTGTAGCAATCATTTAGTCATGGTTGTTATTCTTGTCAGAAGCACAACTTCCCAGATTCTGATTGACTTATATACACTACTTGTGATTTATGCCACATAAATCTCATCTGGGGCAAGAGGAGCTTTCAGGCAGTGGCAAGGCAGCTCTGAGGAGGGATCAGGCACCACCTTGGTGCTGCTGTTCCTCCACTCTCCCCTCCTGGGTGCTGGCTGCAGTGAGGATGCTCTGTTTTGAATCACTGGCTTTCAACAAAAACTTGCTCGAGAAATATTTCAGTGGGTCTGGTGTTGTCATGCAAGTTCATAAATAATCCATATGGCTGAGACCTTCTGTGGGGAAGCCTGCTGTGATAACACCACCCACCAACCTTATCGAGTGTTGCCATGGAGATGGATACTCTGAAGCCTGGGGGAGTGGGATAAAGAGGAGAAAATCTGGAAGTGAAGCACGTATAGGAGCAAACTGTACACTTCTATTTACTAAGGAGCATTTTGAAACAACAGACATTGAGTCAGATGTGTTACCTGTAATTGAAAGTGAAAAAAAGAAGAAAAGAAAAGGAAAATTATTTTAAAAACTAATGATCAGCCATGAATTTTAACTGATCCTGGAGATGTTTCGCTATCCTCGACAAATAAAATCCAACTATTCTTGAAAAAGCAAGAGGGACATAGTATTTTTATTTTCGTTCATTGTTTTGTTAGTGAAATAGCATTTAAACAAGAGATAAAACCAGAATTTTTACTGCTTCAAGAAGCAGAAAAAAACTCATAAAATTTAAAAATTTGAAAAGAGAATGTGGGAAAATAACTGAATGAGCTACCTCAGATATGGTTGTACCACTTGAAACTGGAGATAGCTACCTTGTGCACTTTAATTGCAAGCTTCAACAAAATATTGGTACCTTATTTTTGTACTTAATATATAGATTACAAACCCACATTAATAATTGTAGCAAGATCTGATCTTTTAAACTTTCTTGTCCTTTTCTAATTAAAATAAGCACAAGACAGAGGTACTTTACCCTACCTAGAACTGCAGCTTTTGGTCTTTGCCCTTCTTAAAAATAATTTTCTTTCAAATATTTATTTTCCTCTGTTACTTCATTCCTGCTGTTGGGGAGCAGGAGATGTAACACTGCTTTTGTTGCTTTGATACCTTACATGCTGTGAAGTGTAGCTGATCTTGCAGATATTTAGTGCTTCTTGACAGACTTCCTGTGTGGATTCAGGATACAGCCTGACATCAGAGGTCTCTGGCCAAATGTAAAACAAAGGAAGATAAAAGATAAAAAGGTTTTAAAATATTCCTTATACTCTGAAAGTGTTATTTCGTATATTCACATGATTATATTTTACAAACTTTCAGTCTTCAGTTGCCCTACTGTCTTCCACTTGTATTATCAGAATAAAACTACAGAGCTTCAAAATTACTGAATAGACACCAAACACCCAGTTATGCAGAAATCTGTAAAATAAAACATCACAAAACTTAAAGCAGGTAACTCTTTTCCTATTTCCCTTGCTCAAGCAACTTTGAGCTTGAGGCTTGATACAACAGTGACAGAAATAACACCAGTAAACTTAAATCATGTGATTGACCAAAATTCTTATGGTGTCTATTATGTACTGCAAGAGCTTCTTCAGGTGATTTTTGAAGCACTTGAAGTTCATCACTAACTTAGAATTATTTCTCAGTGTACAGGCAGTATCTACTGCAGGCTGTAATCTAGCTGGCTGATAGTGACTCTGCCAGGAAATAAATAGTAGCAAATCAGAAGTTTGGTGTGTCTGTTTCCTGAGGGTTACAGTTGTAGAGAATATTTCACTTTAGTTGAGCTGAAAAGAGTTGTTCAGGAAATGGGCACTTGGTGGCATTTGTTACTTAAGCATTAGCTAGTGGGATTTTGTGTTTGGTTTTCTTGGTCTTCCCCACACACACTTTATGAAAGGGCTTTATGAAAGTTTTACCATTCATAAAATGCTGAGTTATCAGTCTTTGTGATTCCTTTCTACCAAACCTGGATGCAGTATGGGAAATAACAAATAACCAGGCACATATTTTAATGAGAATTGGTTTATGTTGGCTACAGAGGCAAGAAATGCAGAGGCTTCAAATCATGTGTGAATTGCCCTGCCCTTCTCCACTCCAGCTGGAACAAACTCCTCATATCAAAATACCCAAACCCCTTGAAAATCCACTGCACTGTTGGCATTCCTACAGAAACTGAGGCTCAGGGTTTTGTTGGATTTGGAAGACAGCAGGTAGCTGTTATTGCTAAATCTCAGAGGTTGTAAAGGAGAACTTGCTGCCTTTGCTGCTGGTCTGTGTGCCTGTATTTGAATAGTTATGGGAGATTTTAATTGTGCTGCTTTCAGCTGACTGAGAAAATGTTTTACTCATCACAGAAAGAGAACTTATTTGAAACCTGACCCAAATGTACTTCCTGCTGGACAGGCTGTAGGAATTAGGAAGTTGCCATCACACTTGTGCTGTGGCTGCATTTCTTGTTGCAGAAATCTCATGAAGATTTCATGAATCTTCAAGTTTGAGGATTCATGGAATTGCTTTTTCTCCTTCCTCCTGACTTGGCCTCTGAGGGTTTTAGATAGGTTTGGTCTTACCTGCTGCTGAGGTCTTTGTCAAGCCAATGTGACATTCAAGTCCTTGTGAGTAGGATGGGGGAAAGAGAAAATTATGTCAGGTACATTAGGAAATTTAATGAATTTTCTGTTGTTACTGTTTCTTTGTGTTTTAGTTACATTCATTTTCATGGTAGACTTCTTCTGTAGATGTTGTGATTATAGAAATCTCCACATCTTAGGTATTCTTCTAAATTTTAAAGCAAATATTTCTGGGAAAAAAACCTAGAATCTTTACATCAAAGAAGGGGCTAACAAAGTTAAAGGCCTTTTCAGAATCATGAGGGGGAAAACAAACAGGTAAAGCCAGAGAGTTGTGGCTCAGCGGTGCAGTGGTGCTGAAAGGGGAGAAACTGCACATAAAAATAATATAAATTATATAAACTAAAAATTTATATATTTGCTGACCTAAAAGATCATTGTTTGAATCTTTGTAATTGATCACCAAAAGAACTAAAGTGTGTGATAACTATTTAAATTATTATTATTTATTTTAGAAGATCTGAGTGCATGAGTGCTCAAAGATGTACTCTGAGATTATCTGCAAATAATAATTACTGTGGTTAACTATTAAGAAATTATTGTTATTTAACATTTTCACCTGGTGCTTTAATTCAAAAAAGCAGCACCCTTATTTATCTAACACTGATTTAAATACAGGACTGAATGAAGTTCATCAGAATTTTGACAAAAAGTCAAAAAACATCCTGCAGTGTATACATGTAAACTCTATTTATAATAAGGTAACATTTAATTTTTCATATATAAGGAACGATATGTAAAAAAATGTACTTCAGCTGTGCTTGAACACTTTCATAAAAATATTTCTGAAATAATTGTTTAAGGAATGTTTCCTTGAAGCTACAGAATTGCCTCTCTGTTAGCATATTTATGCAATGATATCTGAACATTTCCCAAGCACTGGTGTATTCATTTACCTGCAGCCGTTACAAAGTAGGGAAGAGCTAATGCCCCTACTTCACAGACAGATTAGACAAATTTTCTGAAGTCATGCAAGAATTTTTTGGTAAAGCACAGACTAAAAGCTAAGCCTCAAATCCCAGGAAAGTATTTCATCTTTCAGATCATTCTCCTCTTTGTGGCTCTTCATGGCAAAATAGAAACATTAAATCCTCCTAAAAAAGCCAAAAAACACTCATACACAAAAAACTCCAAACTAACCAACAAGAAACCCCACAAAATCCAAAACCAAACTAAAACAACCCCAAAACCCAACAAACAAACCTACATAAGCACTGGAGCAGAAATCATTTGACTATATAAAGATGTCTGTATTGGTGCACATCAGCCTAAACTGATCATTCCATGATCAATGGAGGGAAAAAGAGAGTTTTCAAGTTGTGATTCATCTGCTTTAAGTATATAAAATGAGACTCTGTAAT